TTAATTGGACCGAATTGCCCTGGTATCATTACTCCTTCGGAGTGTAAAATAGGTATAATGCCTGGTTATATTCATCAAAAGGGTAAAGTTGGTATTATTTCAAGGTCCGGCACTTTGACTTATGAAGCAGTGGCTCAAACTACCAATGTTGGACTAGGTCAGTCTACTTGCATTGGTATTGGGGGAGATCCAGTAAATGGTACGGATTTTGTTGATTCTATTGAAATGTTTTTACAAGATGATGATACAGAGGCAATTATCATGATTGGTGAAATAGGCGGAGACGCTGAGGAAAAAGCAGCTGAGTTCATAAAAAGCTCTAAAATAAAAAAACCAATAGTTAGTTTCATTGCTGGTATCACTGCTCCGGAGGGTAAAAGAATGGGGCACGCTGGAGCAATTATTTCTAATGGACAAGGCTCAGCTGAAAATAAATTAGAAGCCCTGCAAAGTGCAGGAGTAAGCATTACTAGATCACCAGCTGATATTGGGAAAGTTATGTTTGATTTGTTAAATACCAATTAAAAATCTTAAAAATTAATATACTCTATGAAATCTTTAAATTCCCAGATAGATCGTTTTGATGATTTATTCACAGGAGATCCTATCGATATAGAAAGCAATATGTCTGCGTTGCTGCCAGAAGCAGAAAAACGTTCTGATAAATCTGTGTATTTACAAATTTTATCTCAAATTGCTTTAGCTCAGGCAATGCAGCAAAAATTTGATATAGCCCATAAAACATTAGATCAAGCTGAAAAGTTATTAGAACCTCAGTATAAATTAGCTAAACTAAGATTATTGCTTGAGAGAGGTAGAGTTTATCACCAAAGTGATAGACTAGATCTGGCATTATCCTTTTTTATTCGGTCTTATGATTTATCAAAATTAAGCCGTGAGTTTGATTTCCATACTGTTAATGCAAGTCATATGATCGCCATTGTAGAGAAAAATATAGAAAATAAAATTCAATGGAACAAACTGGCGATTAATTTGGCTGAAAACACAAATGACGAACGCTGTCATGCATGGATCGGTCCTATCTATAATAATTTAGCGCAGAATTATATAGAAGCAGAAAGATATCTGGAAGCATTACAATCTTTTGAAGAATGTAAGACATATGCCGAAGAACGCGGAGATTACATAGTGATGCGTGGCGCTATTTGGGGCATTGGTAGGTCGCTGAGGGGTTTAAATAAGCTAAATCAAAGCTTAGAAATTCAAAATGATTTATTAAAGGAATATGAAAAAATATCTGATGAAGGATTGTTGCCAATTGAACTGATTCGTATTGGGCTAGGAGTCGTTTATGAGGAACTTGCTGAAATATAT